GAAGGAAGGAAGGAAGGACAAAGAGAGAGAGAAAGAAAGAAAGAAGGAAAGAAAGAACGGAAGGAAAGAAAGAAGAAAGCAAAGCAAGCCTGAGGAGGGGGAGGCAGGAGAGAGAAGGCGAATGAATGAACGAGGGTTGGCGATGCCCGTGCAGAGCGCGAAGCGTCCGAAGCGAGAGCTCAGAGCCGGAGCCAGGCCGAGTCTCTCCAGGGTCCGCCCGGGCGGACCTGCGGCCCGCGGACTCCCAGCCCCGGGGTCCCCACGCTCCCCGCCCGCACTCACCTGCGGCGTCCAGCAGGGCCAGGGGCCCGGGCACCGGCGGCTGCATCCCGAGGCCCTGGGCCCCACCCGGCTCGGGCGCGAGGGCGACAGTCCCAGTCCCGGGCCCAGCGCCGCCCCTTTCCCCTCCCCGCGCTCCCACGCGCTCCCCCCGCTTCGCTCCCCCCTCCCCCGTCCCCACTTCTCCCTCCCGCCCAGTCCTGCCGCCTCCTGGTTTCTGGAAATCAGGACGTCCGGGAAAACGAACCCGTGCGCGCGGCCGGGACTGGGAGACAGACCCCAGAGGACACGCCTGGGGAGGACCCGGGGGCCTGGCATCCCCGCGGGGGCCGCGCTCGGCTCTTGGCGGTGCCACGGGGTGGGCCATCACGCGTTCGCCTCCCCATCGGGGTGACAGGCGTCCTCGTCCTGGATCTCTGTCTTCAGAGGGCAGCACGTCTGTTAAAACTCAGTCTGCCGTGAATGAGCAAATGAGGAGCAAGTGCGTCCTGCAGCCCCTCGGCAACCCCAGGTCCGGCTAACTGGCCTCTCCAACGCCTGCGCACAGTGTCCACAGCACTGAAGTTGTTCTGAGTAAAATCTGCTGCTGGAAAGAAGGGCAAGGAAACGGAGGCCAGAGAGCATGCCTCACACAGCAGCAGGGAAAAAACCAAGATCCTTCTAAATTTATTTTTAACATCTTCAAGTCAAGGACATCAGCGGTCCCTTCACAAACCAAGATGCTTGAACGACCACTAAACTCAGCCCCTAGAATTAGGGGAACACCGTGGGAACAAGAGGACGCTGTTTCACCCTCATCCTGTTGGAAAACCCTTAAACAACTTAAAGAGTGTTAATGAAAACATGGGAATCTGCACTCACTGCTGGCTGCAGGATCACGCGTGGTGCCACTACTGTGAAAGCAACATGCAGGAAAATTGAAGGTGTAGATGGCAAGCCAGCAATCTTCTCTTTATAGACGCACCCAGGAACATAAACACAGATACGCTCCTTAGAGCCAGGAGCCGTCATTCTCAGCCATGCTGTCATTAAAGTCATCTAGGAATGTCTTTAAAAGAAGAAGAAAATTACTGCCATCCTGAACCCAGACCAGATCAATTGAATCAGCATTTCTGGGAAGAAACGAACTGCTAAGAATTCCCTAGTCCTTCTAATAGGCCATCCACTGTGAGAGAGAAACTACCATGAGAAGAATTCATGTACAAGAAGACACACACAGAATATCCTCCACAGCACTGTGTGTCCAGAACAACGGCACAGCCTGAACATCCAACACGGGGAGACACGATAAAGAAATGGGCGTATACAGTGAAATGCCACATGGCAGTTAAAACAAAAGAGAGCCACACAGATCAATGTGAACAAATGCCAAACACAGCGTGGGGCACAAATACAAGTGCACAGTGCCACAGCGAGTATGACATCTACATAGAGTTTCAAACAGGAAAATCAACACTGTTCATTCACTGACCCTCTCAACACT